ATGCTGTCTTTAATATTTGCTCGGTGCTGGAATTATTTTAACTATTCTAAAGACATTTAGACAGTAGAATATTCCTCAAGAAAATAGAAGGAAAATAGCTACAAATACCAGCGTACAGTTTTTTTGCTTACTTTTACTTATCAAGTGGAGAACATTCCCAATGGGAAAAAAGAAGTCGAAAAAACGTCTTTAAAAGTCTAATTTATGATGTCTTTAAGACGTCTTTTTTTAGTCGATTATGCAAATCTAAAAGACATCGTTTTTCGTCATCAAAAAATTATCTTTTTTTATCTTGTCATGAAAAGACTGAAAAAATGCGTCTTTAAGACGCCTTTTTTTAGTGAATTATGCAAATCTAAAAGACATATTTTTTCGACATCAAAAAGACGTCTTTTTTTATCTTAATTTTGTCATGAAAAGACATAAAAAATGTGTCTTTAAGACGTCTTTGTTAATCGATTATGCACATCTAAAAAAGTTTTTTTTCTCGGCGTCAGAAAGACTTTTTTTGTCATACTTATTAGTAAACTATAGTATCCTATACACTATAGTATTCCTACTTTTTATATATGAAAAGCTGTTTTCATCAAATCAAAATGATAATAGCTCTTCATACAAAGTGATATGATACATGACAAAAAGCTCTTTCCGATGTAGAGAAAAAAAACTCTTTTAGATGTCAATATAAAAGAGGAAGCATTTTCTACATCTTCTATATGTTTAAAAATAGGAAAATAATTTATAAATAAAACAGTAGTATTGCTCAACAGAATATTTTTTTTTTTCTCCTCTGTTGCTTGAGCGAGCTCTATTTCTTGGCGTTGTTGAATAAATTTAAATATTTCGCGTCGAGAACTTCTTTCATACGAGCTGGCTACAACTTCTAAAAAATGAGTGAACATAAAAAACAGTCTCTTGTTTTAATGTGATATAAAAAAGCAAATGAAATTTGATTAGCTGAGGGAAACACAAGACTTACTAACTTATTCAAAAAGGGCTGATCCTTTTAACCCTTTTTGTTTCCAGCGCGATCTTTTCTTTTTGTCTCCACTAGGTTAAATTGGGACAGGAGTCAAACGGTAAACATTCTAAAAATATATAAAAATAAGTATGCTAAATAAATTAAAGACCATTTAAATGACTGTACAACAATGTATTTTATTATGTAGTACTTAAACCAAGCTAAATATTTGCACTTCTCAGATTTGCCATAAAAGCCAAGTTATTGAAAACAGATATTGATATTTTTCTGTCTTCTATGACGTGACTTTTAAATTTTTTTAACACTTAATTTCGCTGAAATTAAGTATTGTAGACCCATAACAATTTAAAAATCCATTATTTACTAAAGACTATCAAAAACAAAAAAGATAGTTCAGCTAATTATCTTTTTATTTTTGATTTCGTCAAAATGAACAACAACACTTTGAGAGTGAGTGAGTAATTACAATAATTTTATCAATAAAATTTGCACAAAACAATACAATTATAAATGATTGCCATCGTTGTGGTAAGGATAATGTGATAAACCAATAAATATATTACAAAACTTCTCAATTTGTTAGACATAAAACACAACAACAAGCAGTATTATAACAAACAATAAAAACAAACACATAAAAAGGAAAAGTATGCATGTCGAACATAAACCATCCATTGTAAAGAACTAATACTTACACTTTTGTTGCAGTTATATATACCGATTGCCTTTTTCCATAAAGCTGCAGTTATTGGAACTAAGGGTAACTCATGAAAAGATATATGAAAACCCGATGTGTTTGGATTACTACGTCATCCAATAAAAATGCAAATTTTCATTTAAAAGTTTGATTAAAAATTTAAAATTCAATAAAAAAGTGAAGTATATACTTTTTGTGCCCTTTTGTATACAATTTATACCTTATATATATATATATATATATATATATATATATATATATATATATATATATATATATATATATATATATATATATATATATATATATATATATAAAATATATATATAATATATATTATAGTATATATGCTTATATATGTATATATATATATATATATATGCATATATATTATAATATGTATAAACATATATAATATGTATATGTTCTGGGCCGGCGCGAGTAGGTGTCACGTGGGGTGGTGCCATTACAACTTTTGCCCACTAAAAATAAAAAATAAAAAAAAATTTCATCATTTTCGAAAATTTGCCGACTGCCATGACGACATTTGCCGACTAACTTTCTAAACTACCAACTAACCTATATCGAAAGGGTCGACATTTGCCAACTAACTAGTCAAAAAGGGTCAAATTTGCCGACTAAGGGTCAAATTTGCTGACTAAGGGTCAAATTTGCCGACTAAGAATCATTGATAGGAAGGGGGGGTCATACCCCTCATTCGCGCCGGTGTAGTATGAGATTATTACTCCCGCGATTTTTTTACTCCTCAGTAAAAATCTCATATTAAATTTTTACTCCCCAGTAAAAACCGCTTACCAAATTTTTACTCCCCAGTAAAAATCTTATATTAAATTTTTACTCCCATTATGAGATTTTTACTCCCATAAAAATATTATGCGGCAAAACGTATTTTTGTAACAAAATCACGTTGTATTTTGAAAATAGTTTTCAACGTTTTAATTACTGCGGTTTCTTGAAAAGCAATAAGAAACGAATCTTTTTATGCAGTGGCTTTCACAATTCTAAAAATTTAACTATGCATACTGAATTTGCCGACGTTTATAATTTTTTAAAAAGATGCATATATCCAAAGACAGCTATTAGTAAAGGCGATAAGTCGAACTTTCGAAGAAAAACAAAACCATTTGTAATTGAAGATAATGAGCTGTATCATCTGGGTAAATCTGGCGTTAAGGTAAACAGTTTATATAATTAGAGTTTTTTTAAACTAGCGTGGTTTGCGATAAATACATACATTTTTATGTATGTGTTTAAGTATCACGTTTTACATAATAACCTAATACATAGTAATATCATGTTTTAATAATGTATCATGTAATAATAATACGTAATATATAATAATATCATGTTTTACATAATTAAATTATAAAAAGCTTGTACTTTACTAGTATAATACTGCCGTGATAAGGAAAAACACAGTAATTGTAAAAATATCCATCTTGCACTCTTTT